GCAAAAATTAATTATGCTCTTGTTTGTCTCTTTAAATAGTCTGATTAGCTGGAAGGGATATAAGAGAAGCGATACACTTTTTGATCACCTTCAATGTTACCAAATCATAATTTGTCTTAAAGCTAATTTTGTAAGCAATGTATAGCCATAACCTCTTGGGTTTTTAGTGGTTCTCTTTACTTTCACCTGTAGTTTGTAGTTACCCCTCCTTGATTCTTTGTAGTTTATAGAAAATGCAACAAGAATCCCCTGCGGGGGGCCAACCCCCCCCCCAAAAAAAAACCTGCAGATCACGAACTGCGAATGGGGCAAGATTTGTGGTGAATTTTGCTTCATGGTTTGGTTCGTGCCCATCCTTAGTCCCAGGTGCAATCCCCAGCATCTCTAGTTAAAGGATCTGGCAGTAGGTGATGTGAAAGACCTTTCTTTGCCTGAGACCCTGGAGAGCCACTACCATTCTAAGTAGACAGTACTGACTTTGATGGACCAAGGGTCTGATTCAGTCTAAGGCAGTTTCATGTGTTCATGCATGTGTTCAAGGACAAAGGGTGATGGGGCTGTAAATCTGCTTGTTGGAGTTATTCAGCCTTTAAAAGGCTTCTGATAGGCTTCTGTGTGTTTGCCACTAAAACTGAAACTAAGGATACAAGAAGAGCTGGATCAGACCAGACCAATAGTCCATCTAGTCCAGCATCCTGTCTCACACAGTGGCCAGCCAGTTCTTCTAGAGGGTGTAGAGGCTGAGGCCTTCCCCCCGTACAGATGTTGCCTCCTGGCTCTGGGATTCAGAGGTTGACTGCCTCTGAATGTGGCGGTTCCCCTCAGTCATCATGGCCAGTAGCCGCTGATATCTTCCGTGAGTCTAATCCCCTTTTAAAGCTGTTTATTCCTGTGACCATCACTGCATCCTCCGGCAGCGAATTCCACATTTTAATCCCTCTCATATTATTCAGAGAGGGATTCCAATGAGGTTATCCCGTCTGCTTTTTTGATTAAGTTTCTGGGCAAGTCTGCACTGCAAGGGACATCGTTAGGTGGCCTGGATTAAGTGGGTGATTGTTATACAAACATCGGCTTGGGTTTGAGGAACCACAGACTGGAGCCTTGACGAGGATGTTTCCTTTGCAGTGGCATTTTAATGCCCATTAGCCTGATCAGCAATTATCCAGTTTAATATGAAATGCAGTCTCTGTGTACCTCTGGCTGCGCATGGCTGTGGGATCCAGGGGCGTGCAGAAGTACGGCTCCCAGCAGGGAAGGGGATGTTGGGGGGGCACTAGACGTGACCAGAGAAGAAAGATGCAGATCGGGGACAGCCAAGCAGTGGAGACGATTCCTATTTTAATATGATTTATTCTGGCTTTCCAGGTCGAGTCACCTCCTCCACGTAGCCTGGGAAGTCCGAGTGGAGGGAAACGGAAGACTGCGCCCAAAAAAGCGGACAGGGGGCTCAAACAGTCTCCTTCCAAGCACACTGTCCAAGCAAAAAAGTGCAAACTTCAAGCAGATGAAGAGGATGATGATGAGGGTGATGATGATGATGAGCTAATGATCATTGAAGATTAAGAGAGTGGATTTCTAGAACTGTATCTAAATCTGCCTTTGGAGGGATGGTCCAGAGACAATGCATATTTTTCAGCCAAAAGTGACATTTGAATTGCTGCTCACCCCCATGTGGGGAAACTTTTTCTTCCAGTTGTAGCCATCTGAAGAAAAATCTACTTTTTTCATCAACGGTCCTCCCAAGTGTGGGAAAAGGTATTTAGAAATATGGCCCAACTTCTAAGCTGGTTTGTCTTTAAACAATGACAAAAGTTGTTTTGTGACGGTGTCCACGTTTTGAAGCAAATTTGGAAGTACTTCAGAACGTTTGTCCCAACCTAGCGTTCTTGTTTACAATCCCCACTGATCAAAACACTGAAATAAAGGAATGTGACATTCAGTTACAGAACATCAAAAGAACCAAGTGGTGTTTTACAGATGGAAGAGCGCTTGTGAGGACCAAAGGGGGCAGAGGCAACAGTTTATCTGGTGTAGGTGAGAAAGCGTGAATGTCTGTACTCTTCCAGTCCCTGCTTGTATCATAGGCCCTTTCTGTAGTCTTCCTTTAATCCGTGTTCGCCATGGTGTCCTCCAAGCAATTCTGCACTAAAATCGAGTTCAGCTTTCTTTTTAATCCAGGTTTTTTCCCCATTCTGCACTAAAATCAAGTTCAGCCTTCTTTTTATTCTGCCCCCCCCCCCCTAATTCTGCATCACATTCCCTCCCTTCTGAGGCCAGCCCAGTTTCAGCCTGCTGTTGCCTGGGGTTCTTTGGATGCTGTTTTGCCCTGGACTTAAATTGCCTCGACTCGAACACTGAGAAAATCCGGAGTGGCAGGCAAATGCGGAAAGGACCATAACGTGATACAGCTGTACGGGCTAACAGTTTGTGCTCTCCATCCCTTGGTAAGGGGGATGGTGGTAAACAATGATGCAAATAGGTCTCCATTGCTTGTTATAGCGTAGATGCAATTGGGAGCTCAGGATCAATCAGGCTTCCACATTATACCATTTTATTTTGGGCAGGAACGCACAGGAACGGAGTTCTGGCTGGCTCCCGAGTTGGCCACGCCCAGCAGGAACTCATTAGCATAATAGGCCACACCCAACAGCAGAAACTCATTAGGATTGGCTACATTAGGGGTGTGTGGCCTAACATGCAAAGGAGTTCCTGCTACAAAAAAAGCCCTGGGTTTTGACAACAAACAAGGTCAACAGAATAAGAAGCAAAAGGTGGGTGTGGCTGGATGAGCACACTTCTGGTAACATGGGGGTGTGGCCTAATATGCCAATAAGTTGTGCTGTCGGGTGTGGCCTATTATGCTAATGAGTTCCTGCTGGGCTTTTTCTACAAAAAAAGCTCTAGGTATACATGTGAACCAGCCCTTGCTTTGTATCTGTTCCAAGGAAACAGAGGTATGGGGGGCCCTGGTGAACGACATGGTCGAAGACACACTCTGGCACTAAAAGAGAATGCTGGGTATAGCACTTACGGAGGACCCAAACGCCTGTGAGAAATGTTTTCAGGATTTAGACTGCACCCCTAGGTTTGAATATTTGGTGTGTTTTGTAATGGCCATATCTGACGGTTTTTCTTTACAATGTGAGAACTGCAGTTGAATGTGCTTTAGCAAGAAGTTTAAAATGCACAATTTAAGGAACAACAAAGAAGTTTAAAATGCACAATTTAAGGAAGCAACATGTAAATTAAAGGTTTTTTTTTAAAAAAATGTACCTGCAGAATGTATGGCTATGACTGGATGGGACGTACCACTACCATAGTGGGAGGGAATCCCTCTTGCTGTGAATAAGAGCAAACCGTTCTTATTTCCAAGAAAATTACTTCTACGAAGCAGAAATTCTGCTGCGGGAGCTACTCTTGAGCATTCTTCCTGGAGACTCCAGACAGTGTGACTCAAGTTATGGAACCATTTTTTTATTTTCCAGGATCTGCTTTCATTTGAAGTTTAGATTGTCATCCGAGCTTAAACCTTTTGCTCAGGCAGCACGATCTCATTTGTCATTCCATTACTTCCCAAGGAGGGGTTCAACACTCCACCAACAGGGAGGCTGCAGATTGGCTGGGACAGAACCACATAAGTGGCTCCATCCACACTGGGAACACACCCCTCAATTTACTTTAGCTGGGTGGGACAATAACAGAGAACAGCAGCTATAGGAGAAGGAGGCAGGGTGGGCCTTAAAAAAACTAGGCATACTAGATGAACAGGGCATGATCTAGCTATGGGCACTTGGAGATCCCGTTAATTTCAGTAATGTTTTAAACGCAGCAAAGCGGTGTTATCCAACACCCGGTTAACCGGCATGCAGCCTGCTCTGGAATAGGCTCTGGTCCCAGCCACGGCTACACCCAGTTTGCAGTGCTATCAAGGCCTCACTCAAGAACTGTGTCATATTTAAGCCCTACCGCACTTGTAAATTATAGTAAGAAGTCCATGTCTGAAATCTTATAAAGTGTATGCACTTTCCTTCAAACCCCCCCCAAATGCCCAACCTTATTGCAGTTGCATACCATCATCACCTGAATGCTCTCCTCGTGTCCATTTCAAGGTAACCACAGTCATACATGTGTTGAAACACGTAAGCCGCTCAGAGCCCTAAGGGGGTGAGCGGGATACAAACTGAATGAAATAAATAAATGAATGAATGTATGTCTGTTGTTCACACAGGCGATACCCGTTCTCAAAGCCTGGTCTGCTAACCAGATGTAAAGAGTCAGACAGCAACATTTTCAGAAGTTCAGTCAAAGTAATCCTCGATGTCTATGTTTGGATCCAAGAGATCTTCCCCGTAGCGCGAAAGATCCATCTGATTTAGAATCAGGTTTTCAAAAGTTTCTTCCAGGTCAGTCTCGCCAATCAGCACAGCTCCCATCATCCGCCCGTTCTGCATCACCACTTTGACATACTCCTGGCCTTTGGTACATCTCAGCATCAGTTCGTGGTCTGATCCCAGCCCTTGACCGTTGTATTTTCCCAGCAGCACCACCTGCAGGAATAAAAACAGGATTAAAGACTGCAGATATCTTGGGCACACAGGAACGGCAGGAACTGTAGAATGGAACCTTCCTGTTTAAATTCTGCTATTCTGCCCCTGATTTGCTTTGCATTTATCTTGTGTGTGAGCGTGAAGCCGCTTCTGACTTATGGCAACCCTATGAATTATTGACCTCCAAAATGTCCCATCGTTAACAGCCTTGCTCAGGTCTTGCAAACTGGGGGCCCTTGTGGATTCCTTGACTGAGTCAATCCATCTCATCTTGGGTTTTCTCATAATGTGACCAAAGTATGACAGCCTCAGTTTAGTCATTTTAGCTTCTAGGGAGAGTTCAGGCTTGATTTGGTCTAGAACCCACCTGTTTGTTTTTTTGGCAGCCCACGGTAAAACTCTCCTCCAATGTATGGGTGAAATTATCCCACACGTTCTGGTACGTCTACGCTCCACTCAAGCTCTCTTATGAGCAGTTGTACTGTTTAGGTCCAGAGGGTGGCCATGTCGTTCTGCATTACAACAGCTGTGTTTGAGTCCAGTAGCACCTTAAGAACATGAGCCCTGCTGGATCAGACCAATAGTCCATGTAGTCAAGCACCCCATCTCACACAGTGGCCAACCAGTTCCTCCGAATGGCCGACAACAGGGCGTTGGAGGTCAAGGCCTTCCCCTGACGCTGCTTCCTGGCTCTGGGAGTCAGAGGAATAGTATCTCTGAATGTGGAGGTTCCCCTCAGTCGCCGTTGATAGACTTACCCTTAAAGACCATCAATATTTTCGGGGTCTAAGAAAGCTCCCTTTGTCTGATCAGGTGCTACTGGACTCAAATCTAGTGGTATAGGTCCAATTGCTCAAATGTTGCACAAGAGAACACACTCTGAATTCAGCCAGAACCTACATAACTTTGACGGAGATAACACACATCACACTCTGAATTCAGCCAGAACCTACATGACTTTGATGGAGGTAACAGACATCCAGATGTTCCCTCTAAGCTGTGGAGTCTTGTGAGCAAAAATTCTATTTTGTGAGTGACTGGCATTAAAGTTGTGAGTGAGCGATTTGGCTACTGCATAAATGAGTTTGCTCTGGAGCCATCCCTTCCTGAGCTGAGACAAAAATGTGTGAGCCGGAGGCTGAAAAACTGTGAGCTAGCTCACACTAACTCAGCTTAGAGGGAACACTGAATTCCAGACCCATGAAATCTCGGATACCAGAATAATTTGAAGAATTGGCATGGCCATATTTATGGCCCAACATATAAGCTAGTAGCATAACTAAAAACATATAAGGAAACAACATCTGGTTATATACATATACACACATACAAAACCCTTTTATACGTTTATTTTGGATGTGTGTCTGTAATATAGAGAATAGTGACCACTGAGGAATGCTGCTGGACTCATATCTAGTGGTATAGGTTCAATTGCTCAAATGTTACACCAGGGAACACACTCTGAATTCAGCCAGAACCCACATATAATAATCCAGACTTCCTGCTACTGAACATGAAACAGAATGAGTATAGTATTTTCAGTCACGTTTACAACAATCAGTTTGCCCTTGTTTGAATGATGAAGAGCTTGACCCAATGAGTCTTGAGCTAGTGTGCTGGTTCCCCAAGTGGGCAATACCACCCCCTCAGGGGCACTGGAACGATCCAGGTGCAGATCCACAAACTGCATCTTTTTGCCCACTTGAAGGTAGATGTCCAGGGGGGCGCAGAGTAATTTTTTTCCCTGAAAAAGGGGGCGGTAGGCCAAATAAGTTTGGGAACCTCTGAGCTGGCTCGATAAAATCACTGCCCCAGACACAGTGTTCTATCTATGCCTTGTGGTTAATAGCCACCGACGGACCTCTGCTTCATATGTTTATCAATATACAACTTTGAGCTACAGGCCTGATGCTGTTGCAGGCTGTTCTGCCCACTGCTAGGAAGCTAGAAATTCCAGGACCGCAGCCAGCTTCTTTAGATGCAATGAGTTTACCTTGTAATTGAAAAACTTTGTAACGTGAGCAAAGAGTTCAAAGCTGAAGTCCATTTCGGCGGGCTCCCCTAAAGCACCAGCAGCCATGCATTTCGCCGCGTACCATCCCATCTGCCTGGCCTGCGTCCAGAGCCTCATCTGGAAAAAGACGGGACAATAAAAGGGACGCGTATTTTTGCCCAGGTTACTTAAGGCCTAGGAGTGCCTCGTTCTGAGAGCCTGATCTCAGATACTCCGCTTGTTGGGGGAACGGCTGTTAACAATGGCATTTTGCACTACAAAACACAGCAACCCCCGTTTCACCCTAAGGCTGTTCTTCTGTATGTAGAAATACTTCACTGTGAGCCTCCCCCACCCTGGGTTGGCCAGTCTGCCATTCTGTTTGAGGTCAGGCCGCCTCCCCTGAGGCCTCAGAATGGGAAGGGAAAGGGGTTATGCCACCAAAGTCCTCTTCCTTCCCAGGACTGGCCCCCTCCATAGCTCAGTCCTTCCCTTCCTCCTCTGCCGGGTGTGGTGCCTTCCCTTTTATGGGATTCCGTGGCTCCACCCCCGCCTGGCCGGTATCCAATCCAGGGCCACCTCTTAACCTCTCCCATCCTGTCCGTCCCCAAGTCCGGGCTTGACCCTTGCCTTTTGTCCACACCCCTCCCCCCTGGCTCTCTGCCTTGTCCTCAAGCTATAATTATGGTTACCAGTCTCCAGGTGGTGGCTGGAGATCTGAGATGATGAAGAAGAAGAGATTGGATTTATACCCTGCCCTTCACTACCCAAAGGAGTCTCAGAGCGGCTTACAAACTCCTTTCCCTTCCCCTCCCCACAACAGACACCCTGTGAGGGAGGTGACGCGTATTTTTGCCCAGGTTACTTAAGGCCTAGGAGTGCCTCGTTCTGAGAGCCTGATCTCAGATACTCCGCTTGTTGGGGGAACGGCTGTTAACAATGGCATTTTGCACTACAAAACACAGCAACCCCCGTTTCACCCTAAGGCTGTTCTTCTGTATGTAGAAATACTTCACTGTGAGCCTCCCCCACCCTGGGTTGGCCAGTCTGCCATTCTGTTTGAGGTCAGGCCACCTCCCCTGAGGCCTCAGAATGGGAAGGGAAGGGGGTTATGCCACCAAAGTCCTCTTCCTTCCCAGGACTGGCCCCCTCCATAGCTCAGTCCTTCCCTTCCTCCTCTGCCGGGTGTGGTGCCTTCCCTTTTATGGGATTCCGTGGCTCCACCCCCGCCTGGCCGGTATCCAATCCAGGGCCACCTCTTAACCTCTCCCATCCTGTCCGTCCCCAAGTCCGGGCTTGACCCTTGCCTTTTGTCCACACCCCTCCCCCCTGGCTCTCTGCCTTGTCCTCAAGCTATAATTATGGTTACCAGTCTCCAGGTGGTGGCTGGAGATCTGAGATGATGAAGAAGAAGAGATTGGATTTATACCCTGCCCTTCACTACCCAAAGGAGTCTCAGAGCGGCTTACAAACTCCTTTCCCTTCCCCTCCCCACAACAGACACCCTGTGAGGGAGGTGGGGCTGAGGGAGCTCTGACAGAAACTGCTCTTTTTCAAGAACGGTTCTTATCAGAGCTACGGCTTGCCCAAGGTCATCCAGCCAGGTGCAAGTGGAGGAGTGGGGAATCAAACCCGGATCTCCCAGATTAGAGTCCGCGCTCCTAACCACTACACCAAACTGGAGATTACAACTGATCTCCATGCGACAGAGATCAGTTCCCCTTAAAGTCACTCCACCCCCCAAACACTGCCCTCCTCAGGTACCTCAAAATCTCCAGGTATCTCCCAACACGGAGTTGGCAACCCTAGCCGAATTGGAGCCGTCTGCCTGGTCCTAGGGGCCCCCCCCCCCCCCCCCCCCGCTATCCACAATTTGGACAACTGGGGTAGGGTTGAGTCAGGGCCAGGTGACGGCTCCCAACATTCACAGAACTATTTAAAAGTTCCTTAATGCTTGGGCATCTCGATGGCTTGTTGTAAAGAAAGCTCGGAATGTATTTCTGGAAGATACTACAGCAGTGGATAAAGTCGTAACTGCCCAAGTTAAGAACTGCACGCATTGTGGTATAATTATAGTAAGTAAAGGGAATTTTTGATTCAGTACAGGTGCCGTTTCCCAAGATGAAAGCCACCGCCGCTGAGAATGCACCTAGTCCAGCTGTGGAAAAGTTTCCCTTAAGAGGCCTACCAGCTATGTACACTTTCAGGACATGTGTGAAAATCTTTTTATAAAGCCCCCACTGTAGCACCTCCAACATGGCCAAGAGGTGGTGAGTGACTGTAGCAGCTACCAGTTTGGTCAGCTACTACAGTCAATCTGGAAAGCCCTCTTCCAGCTATCACATGCTATTGCAAGAAGCTGGGCACAGCTGCGAGGCGAGAAAGAGCATGGGCTGATGGGCGGTGGCGCTAAGAGGGTGCTTAAAAGAGACTATCTGCAGGTGACAGTAGCTGCTGTCAGAACAGCTGCTACAATTGCATAGAGGCTTCTGCCTGCGGGAATATTTGAGGGCTCTTAATTCTTAGGCTGGCCAGTGGTAAAGTGACCCCCCAGTTCCACTGCACAGATGTGTTGGCCACAAGAGACATCCACTTTCTCATTGCCCCCAAACCACGAGAGGTAGCACAACCCACGCTTGTTTTACCTGCTGCCATACTGGACTGGGCTCCCATGATGTTGTGCAGATGTCCCCTGCTGCGTAGATGTCCGGTAGCGAAGTACACATCTCTTTGTCCACCTTTAAACCTCCGTCTTGGCCCAGAGCAAACTAAACAAAATAGGTAAAAGTTGATGCCTAACAGAAGGGGAAGATGCCACTTGGCCGGTGTTTTATTATCAGCGGTTCCCAGCTTTTTTGTAAGACCCACAAGTCCAAATCGATTCGGTATGGTGACCCATCCAAGCCTGGCCCGAGATTTTTTAGGTGCCCTAGGCAAGGTATGGTGCTGGAGAAGACTCTTGAGAGTCCCTTGGACTGCAAGATCAAATCAGTCAGTCCTAAAAGAAATCAACCCTGACTGTTCCCTGGAAGGCCAGATACTGTGAAGCTGAAGCTCAAGTACTTTGGCCACCCGATGAGAAGGGAGCACTCCCTGGAGAAGACCCTGATGCTGGGGAAGATTGAAGGTCAAAGAAGACGGGGACAGCAAAGGATGAGATGGTTGGACAGTGTCATCGATGCAACGAACATGAAATTGAGCCAACTTCAGAGGACGGCGGAAGACAGGAGGGCCTGGCATGATGTGGTCCATGGGGTCACAAAGAGTCGGACTCGACTGTGCGACTGAACAACAACAAGGCAAGGTATGACCTTGGCACTCATCTAGTTTTGCATTCCTTTTTCTACAGTGGCTAACCAGATGCTTCTGAGAGACCAGCAAGCATCACACAAAGGGCGCAGCCACCCCCACTATGAGCCCCAAGCGAGTGGCATTCTGACGGCACACAGCCTTTGCCTGCGGAGGCTAAATCCCGCTCCTTCCCCATTACTCCTTCTAATCTCCCCTAAGAGTCTAAGAAACTCACTCTAGGAACCTCAAGACACGTTTGACTTGATCAGCATGTATATGCAGTGAGCTAAAAAGGTAAAGGTAAAGGTCCCCTTGCTCGAAAGCCAGTCGAGTCCGACTCTAGGGTTGCGGTGCTCATCTCCATTTCAAAGCCGAAGAGCCAGCGCTGTCTGAAGACGTTTCCGTGGTCATGTGGCCGGCATGACTAAACACCAAGGCGCATGGAACGCTGTTACCTTCCCCACCGAAGTGGTACCTATTTATCTACTTGTAATTTCTTGCTTTCGAACTGCTAGGTTGGCAGGAGCTGGAACTAGAGACGGGAGCTCACTCCGTCATGCGGCACACTCGGGTCTCGAACTGCTGAACTACCGACCTTCCCCAGCCTGCAGTTCAGCGTCTTAACCACTCGAGCCACCGCAGCTGTATATGCAGTGAGCCAATGACCTCCAAAGCATCCTATCATGAATGGCCTTGCTCAGGTCTTGCAGACTGAAGGCCCTCGTGGCTTCCTTGCTTGAGTCAATCCTGGCCGGTTTGGCCAGGGATCCTGGAGGGTTTTTTTGGTCATCTTCTGGGTGTGGAACAGCAGTCACAGCAGGTGTGGAGGAGGTATTTGAGAATTTCCTGCCTTGTGCAGGGGGCTGGACTAGATGACCCTGGAGGCCCCCCTCTAACTCTATGAACCTATGATTCCATTTGTTGGGCCTTCCTCTTGTCCTGCTGCCTTCGACTTTTCCTAACACTGTTCTCTTTCCCAATGAGTCTTGTCTTCTCATAACGTGACCAAAGTACGATACCCTCAGTTAGGTCACTTTAGCTTCTAGGAAGAGTTCAGGCTTGATTTGATACTCTATCAAACACTCGTCAGGGATGCTCTAGGCCAGTGGTGGCGAACCTATGGCACGGGTGCCAGAGATGGCACTCAGAGCCCTCTCTGTGGGCACGCGTGCCATCGCCCCAGCCAGGCCCAGACCATCATTAAAGTGTTGAATTCTCTCTGCCAAATAATTTTAAGTCAATGAAAGCATTTGGGATTGCTTTCCTTACTTTGTTTGGATCATCTTAAGTTACTGTATGAGTTGTTTTTTCTAAAGTAAAACCTCAGTGTTCAAGTTAAATTGCTGTGTTGGCACTTTGCGATAAATAAGTGGGTTTTGGGTCGCAGTTTGGGCACTCGGTCTCTAAAAGGTTCGCCATCACTGCCCTAGGCTGATCCCGCATTGAGCAGGGGGTTGGACTAGGTGGCCTGTAGGGCCCCTGCAAACTCTGGGATTCTGGGATCTAGAACTCACTTATTTGTCTTTTTGACAGTCCACGGCAATGCTCCCTCTAAGCCATGGACTCTTGTGAGCAAAAATTCTACTTTGTGAGCGACTGGCATTAAAGTTGTGAGCGAGCGATTTGGCAGCTGCATAAATTAGTTTGCTCGGGAGACATCCTCCCTGAGCTAAGACAAAAACGTGTGAGCCAGAGGCTAAAAAACTGTGAGCTAGCTCACACTAGCTCAGCTTAGAGGGAACACTGGTCCACGGTATCCATAAGTCTCTCCTCCAACACCCTTAAGGTCCTTGTCGCTTGGGAGATGGAAAAGTAATTCCCAGCCACTTCCCCCTCCCCCGTTTGGAAGAACATCGCCTCAGTCAGACTCTTTCCTCAGTCCTTACGCTGTTGCCCTCGAGGAACGGCTGGACGTTCGGAACCACTCCAGTGGCACTGACGATGAAGTCGCAGCCGTACACCTTCCCATTCGAGAGTTCTGCATACACCGGCCACAGTTCTGAAATTAATTTCGTTTATTAGATTTTTTTTTAGTTGCCACACACTCAAAGGGTCTCGTGGTGACTTACAACATTAAAATCAATAAGGTGAAAACATAAAAACAAATGACAAATATTAACATATTTAGAGAGCCAGTTTGATGTAGTGGTTGAGTATGCGGACTCTAATCTGGGAGAACCGGGTTTGATTCCCCACTCCTCCACTTGCACCTGGCTGGATGACCTTGGGCAAGCCGTAGTTCTGATAAGAGCTGTCCTTGAAAAAGAGTAGTTTCTATAAGACCTCTCTCAGCCCAACCTACCTGAAAGGGTGTCTGTTGTGGGGAGGGTAAGGGAAAGGAGTTTGTAAGCTACTCTGAGACACCTTTGGGTAGTGAAGGGCGGGGGGTATAAATCTAATCTCTTCTGCTTCTTCTTCTAACATCAAAATATTAAAATACTTAGCTTTCACCATACAACCCAAACATGCGGTTATTTCCCCTCCGAAAGCCGACCTAAACAATTCGGCTTTGCATGCCCTACAGAAACTCAATCAGTCCAGCAGGGCACGGGTGTCATCCAAGAGTGCATTCCACAGGGCAGGGGGCCACAACTGAGAAGGCCCCCCCCCTTTTTTTGATGTTGAGCTTCAAGCCCACTTTTGCGCTCTCCTCTTTTATCCTGAGCAGGAGGCTCTTTAGGTCCTCTTCACTTTCTGCCATCAGAGTGGTATCGTCTGCATATCTGAGGTTATTGTTTTCCTCTATTACTTTGCATTGTTCATTCAGGAAGGCCTCCTTATCTCTCCTTGCTGTTCTCTGGAAATCTGCGTTCAGTTGGGTAAATCTTTCCTTTTCGCCTTTGCCTTTCGCTTTCCTTCTTTCCTCTGCTATTTGTAAAGCCTCATCAGAAAGCCATTTTGCTTTCTTGCATTTCTTTTTCTTTGGTATGGTGGTGATTGCTGCCTCCTGTACAATGTCACGAACCTCCGTCCATAGTTCTTCAGGCACTCTATCTATCAAATCCAGACCCTTGAATCTATTCTTCACCTCTACTGTATATTCATCAGGGATGTGATCTAGGTCAAACCTGAATGGCCTCATGGTTTTCCCGATTTTCTTCAGCCCTGGGTATGAGTGTCCTAAAGCATTAAATACTTTGAGAGTTAACACCAACACCTTGAATTGGATCTGGAGACTGGTAGCCAGTGCAGCTGCCACAGAACTGGAGTCATATGAGCTGGCCCGTGATGTTCCAGTCAGCCATCTGGCAGCGGCTGCGTTCTGGACCACCTGCAGTTTCCAAAGCATTTTCAAGGGTAGCCCTACACAGAGCGAATTACAGTAGTCCAGTCTGGAGGTGACCATTACATGGATCAATGTGGCAATGCCTGACCCAGACAAATACGGAGCCAGCTAGTGGACCCTGTGTCGGTGAAAAAAACGCTGACTGTGCTACCATGGTCGCTTGTGTATCCAGCGACAGCAGGAACCAACCACACCCCGAGGCTCTTTACATAGCCTACAGCTGTCAACTGGACAGCTAGCATCTCAGTCTTTCCTAGCCACATGAACTCTGTCTTGGATGGATTCAACTTCAGCCAGCTCCCCCTTAACCACAGGCACTTGGATACTGCCAAGAGCCCTGCCACCAGCTGTTTAGAGCCACCGGCTGTTAGAGAGCCAGTTTGATGTAGCGGTTGAGTGTGCGGACTCTAATCTGGGAGAACCGGGTTTGATTCCCCACTCCTCCACTTGCACCTGCTGATGTGATCTTGGGTCAGTCACAAGCTCTGGCACAGCTGTCCTTGAAAAAGAGCAGTTTGTGTCAGAGTTCTCTCAGCCCCACCCACCTCACAGGGTGTCTGTTGTGGGGAGGGGAAGGGAAAGGAGGTTGTAAGCCGCTCTGAGACTCCAAGTGAAGGGCGGGGCATAAATCCAATCTCTTCTTCTTCTTCTTCTGTTTATCCAACAGGAGGAAGAGCTGAGTGTCTTCAGCACATTGATGGCACTCAACTCCAAACCTCCTGATGATCGTGGCAAGAGGGTACACATATATTTTAAATAACATCAGGGAGAGGATTGAACCCTGTGGGAACCCCACAATTCAGGTCTCGTCAGGAAGACCACTCCTCCCCAATAGCAACTCTCTGAGCACGTCCCTGGAGGAATGATGAGAACCAACCAAGGACAGTGCCCCTTACCCCCAGGGAGGCAAGGCGGTCGATCAGGACCAAATGGTCAACTGTACTGAAGGCTGCTGATAGATCCAGGAAGAATCAACAGGGTAAGCAAGCAGATGTAACCGGAGATTGTCAATGAAGAACCTAAAAGGTTAAATACATACCAATCGGAGGGCCCAATCTTAAAATCAATAGATACAGGTTATAAAAAAACACATGTATTTATTACAAATTATTTAAAAACTGGTCCAAATGTAGCCTCAATAAGAATTAAGAAGGACCTTATGTGACCTGACGCATCTTGGCCAACTGGTCTTCTTCAGAGATCAAGCATAAATAATACACGTAGGTTCAATGTTGCAATAATAAAACAGTATTAATCAATATAGGACCAAGTGAAAATTATATTATAATAATTATCAGTGGTGTAGTGTGGCTAAGGTGTACAATAGAGGCCTCATTGTACTGCCATAATATGCCTTCCTATTTTGGTCCTAAAGATATAATTATAGATGCAATCGAGACCATTACGACGCACGAGCTCTAGATTGCATTTGAAATTGCATCTTAGTAGGACCAAAATACGAAGGCGTGTTATTGCAGTACCATCTAAGATATATGCACCTGATTAGGACACAAGGTGATATTATATGAGGCCTCTACTGTACACCTTGGCTTGAACCACTGATAATTATTATAATATAATTTTCACTTGGTCCTAGATTGATACTTTGTTTTATTATTGCAGTATTTATTTATTTATTTATTTATTTATTTTTCAAATTTCTACCCCGCCCTCCCAGCCAAAGCCGGCTCACATATTGAGCCTACGTGTATTGTTTATGCTTGGCCAGTTGGCCAAAACCCGTCCGGTCACATGCGGTCCTGTTTATGAAATCCTGTATTTATTTAATTCTTACTGAGGCTACCTTTGGCTCTGTATCTCTTTATTGATTGAAGGTAACAGAAGAAGGGGATGGCAAAGGACGAGATGGTTGGACAGTGTTATCGATGCAACAAACATGCAATTGAGCGGACTCCGGAGGACGACAGAAGACAGGAGGTCCTGGCGTGATGAGGTCCGTGGGGTCACGAAGAGTTGCACTCAACTGTGCGATTGAATGACGACAACAACTACTGATTTTAAGATTGGGCACTCCTATTTGTATGTATTCAACCTTGTAGGTTCTTAATTCATATTCGTGTTTTTTGTCCCCCTTCTTTTTCGTTCCTCGCTGGAGATTGTCAACCAATGCAATCGGTGCTGACTCGGCCCGAAAGCCAGGCCTGGAGCCCGATTGAAAAGGGTCCAGGGCAGATGTCTCATCCAGGAAAACCTGGAGCTGCTTGGCCGCTGCTCACTCAACTACCTTCTCCAGAAAAGGTAGATTAGATACGGATTCCAGACCCTGGGATAGTGCAAGGAACCCTGCCACTGACGGCACTCAACTCCAAACGTCCTGACGATCTCGCCAAGAGGATGCGTATATATGTCAAATAATAGCAGAGAGAGGATCGAACCTTGTGGGACCCCTCAATTCAGGTCTCGGTGGGAAGTCCTCTCCTTCCCAGTAGCAACCCTATGACAGTAAGAATGGCAGTACCTTGCGTTAGCACCAGAGAAGGGGGAAGGAACCTGCCTCTTTTTCAAATCAATCTGTCGGTACTCTTTAAGATGATGATCCTCACGCTCTGAGAGCCGCCGCTTTAGACGGAGCAAGCTGTGGCCCACGTGGGGTTGGCAAGCCACGTCTTGGTCAGCGCACGGGTTCACTTTTGTTCTAAAACTTCTGCTTACCTTGATCTGGTCCTGCGTTCCCCTCATCCGGTTGAGCTTTCGGGAAAGCCAAGGATACCTTCCGTGACCTCTGGAACTCTTCTGGGAGGTAGATTTTCTTTATTTCGCACAGGCTTTCAATGTGAACTTTATGGGACAGCTTCAGAGAAAGGGACAAAGGCGTTTCTTAATATCAAGTGGGGGTCAAGGGCCATTAAGTCACTGCCGACTTACGGCTCCCCCATGGGGGGTTTTCAAGGCAAGAGGCGACCAGAGGTGGTTGGCCACGGCCTTCCTCTGCACAGCGGTCATGGAATTCCTTGATGGTTTCCCATCCAAATACTAACCAGAGCCCACCCTTCGCTTCCGGGATCTGACGAGATCGGTCTAGCCTGGGCCATCCTAGGAATGGCTCTTTAATATCACAAGCACTGTTCCCTCTAAGCTGAGTTAGTGTGAGCTAACTCACAGTTTTTCAGCCTCCGGCTCACCCATTTTGGTCTTAGCTCAGGAAGGAGGGCTCCCGAGCAAACTAATTGATGCAGCAGCCAAATCGCTCGCTCACAACTTTAGTGCCAGTAGCTCACAAAGTAGAATTTTTGCTCACAAGACTCCACAGGTTAAAGGGAACACTGACACAAGTACTAACAATAGGACAAGCAAGCTTTAAAAGGTGTTCTCCTACGATGAGGACAGACCCAAGCCCATGAAGGGCATGTGAATTGCCTTGGGGGATCAGCCAAGGTCTGGCATGCTGGTGTACAGATCACACCAGTCAGACTGTGGGAGGGGCCGTGGCTCAGTGGCAGAGCATCTGCTTGGCATGCAGAAGGGTCCCAGGTTCAATCCCCGGCACCTCCGGTTAAAAGGGTCAAATCGGAGGTGACGTGAAAGACCTGAGCCTGAGACCCTGGAAAGCCACTGCCAGTCTGAGTAGGCAATACTGACTTCGATGGACCCAGGGGTCTGGTTCAGTAGAAGCCAGTTTCCTGTGTTCCATTTCATATCGGACTCCTTGTATTTAGGGGCCTTGGTCAATGTGAAGACCAGCATGTGACTAATAGGCTGGCACATGGAATAGAATCCTGAGCAATGTTCCCTCTAAGCTGCAGAGCCTTGTGAGCAAAAATGCTACTTTGGGAGCTACTGGCATTAAAGTTGTGAGCGGGCGATTTGACTAATGCATAAATTAGTTTGCTCTGGAGCCATCCTTCCTGAGCAAACACACAAATGTGTGAGCCGGAGGCTAATACCTGTGAGCTAGCTCACACTAACTCAGCTTAGAGGGAACACTGATTCCTGAGCTAATTTTTAAGAAGGCGAATTAGAACAAGCAAACGGGACGGTAGATCTTTGGCACCTGCCATTTTCCAGCTCAAATCCCCCCTGCCCCATTCTAAACAAATCTGCATCAGGAATCTGTTACACATATTTGCACGTAACGTGCTCTTAGCCCCCCAAGAGAGCCTCGGTCGGCTTGTCCGCTGGAAAGATCCATAAGGTCCAGACAAGCTTTTTATTTGAGGAAGGCTGGCTACCATCAACAATTTTTCTCTTCGGGGAAATTCTCAAGTTGCCAGGAAACTTAATGGTCCCGGAGGTATAACTGGACACAGAGGACAGTGTACGTGGTCCACATCCCACCCCCCAGGTGACTGGGTACCTAAGGACATGATATCGGCAGAAAGCGTCCCACCTCTTTTGCTCCCTTGAGATGTAAGCCTTCGTGCCAATCGGGACCCAAGGCACTGCCTGTCTTCCCCGGTTCTGCTTCAGCTTTTGCTTCCTTCTCGGTTTCTGGGGAGAAAAAAAAATCAAGGAAGAGACCAAAAGGTGTACGTGTCACGCACTCTGGATCACCAACCCATTCTCCAGATGCCAATCTGAAGACCAGAACAGCTGGACCCCCTCATAGGCCTGCAGGGAGGTCTGCAGGAACTACAGAGTTGGCGTCATCTCACTATAAGGCTTTAACTGGTATGGAGCACAGGCAGTTTGATAGCCCGAGACGGCCAACTGGAGGGCTAACAGGCTTTCCGACTGCTCCCTTCAGGAGCCAGATGTACTGGAAAGGCCAAGAACCAAACCCCTAAATGGTCTGCGATCTTCATAGCTGGCGGACCGCCTCTTCCGACATATTCCCCCTGAAATTTGCTTTCTTCAAGCCGCAAGCCACTTGTGCTGCCTGATCCCCGGGATGTTTGCCAAGCATCTACCAGGATGAGGGCCTTCTTTGTGGTGGCCCCGTCCTAGTGGAACCACCTGTCAGACAGTACACGGGCCCTGCGGGACTTATCTAAGTTCCACAGGGCCTGCAAAAGGAGAGTTCTTCCGTTTACCTTTTCATTAGTCGGGTCTGTTTAAGCTTTATTTGTACTATGTTTTAATTGATGTCTGATAATACCTTAGCTGTTTTTTTCTTTTTTAAACATTTTTATTGCTTTTCTAAAACTACAATACCTTACCTGTTGTTGGCTGCCTTGAGACTGCTTGGCAGCAAGAGGCGGCATATAAATTTAAGAATGATAACAATAAATAATAATTAAAAAGCCAAAGACACTGTGTAATGCAAGGGATATAAAATCACACAGAGTCCTCTATGCTTTTTTCCCCTTTGAGGTTGAGTGTGTGTGACTGGCCAAAGGTCACCTAGGAGGCTTCCACGGCATACTGGGGATTCAAACCTGGATCTCCCAGCTCCTAGTCTGATACCCTAACCTCTACATCACTTTGACTCATTAACTTAAAAGAGCAAATCAGTAAGAGTGATTTTTCAAAGGTCTTTAGAGTGTGGCATACTTTTCCTCAGTAATCCCTATAAAGTCACCCAGTATTATCATCTGTCTTTGGGCGGGGCTGTCTTGGGGGCAAGAGAGCAACAGCTGGTGGCTGGTGAGATGGAAATGGACCTCTGTAGCCTGTCCATTAGCTGGTGGGTCCCACTGCTCAAAGGGGCTGAAGTCGATTTTCCTAGCTCACACACTGGGCTCTTCCACGTTCTAATTTCCATCACTTGTGTGTCCCTGTGGCTTTATTTTTTCCCTTTTCCACATCTGTTTTGCTCCCTCTAGTGGTCAATTCGGTATTGCATCACTTTATGTTTGGCATTAAAACCTGCAGGGAGGTATGCAGGACATACACCCATGTAATACTGAAGCAACCACTAGAGGGAGCAAAACACATGCAAGAAAGAAAAACCCCCAAAGCAACAGGGACACACAAGTGATGAAAATGAGAATGGCCACTGAGTCACTATGCTGCGTTAGGTCTCAACAGTTCCAAAATACTTACAGCATGTAGATTTGACTGATGCAATTGTTTGCATACTTTTTTTAAAAAAAATTCACCATACGTGCAAATGCCAACTACGATGCCGGCCACTGAGCTGAGTATTCTACTTACCTGCCATTGTGTATTTTGTCCTCTTGCAAGCGATGGGAGGCTCCGGCTTCTCCGCACTCAGCTTTGGAATCAGGAACTGAGCTGCCCCTGCATCGAAGAAGGTGTTCCCGATCGCTTTGTCTTTGATGGCCCAGATCACTTCACAACCTTCAATCTCATAGCTGGAAGGAGAATGAAAACAAACAGGAAAGAGAAGAGGGCTCCCGGGA